AACATGGTCCAACACGGCCTGACATAGTCCAACATGGACCAACATGGTCCAACACGGCCCCGCACGGCCTGACATGGTCCAACATGGACCAACATGGTCCAACACGGCCTGACATAGTCCAACATGGACCAACATGGTCCAACATGGCCCTGCACGGCCTGACATGGTCCAACATGGCCCAACATGGCCCAACATGGACCAACATGGTCCAACACAGCCCCACACAGCCCAACATGGTCCAACATGGCCCAACTTGGTCTAGTATGGTCCAACACGGCCCCACACGGCCTGACATGGTCCAACATGGCCCAACATGGTCCAGTATGGTCCAGCGTGACCCAATATGGCCCAACATTGCCCCACACGGCCTGTCATGGTCCAACATGGTCCCACATGCTCCAAGATGGCCCAACATGGCCTGACTTCACCTAATATGACCCAGCATGATGCAACATGGCCTGACATGGCCCAGCATAGTCCAGTATGGTCCAACATGGCCCAACATGGTCCAGCGTTGCCCAACATGGTCCAACATGTCTCCACACAGCCCAACATAGCCCAGTATGGTCCAACATGGCCCCATATGGCCCAGCATGGTCCAGTCTGGACCAATATGGTCCAACACAGTCCGACACGGCCCAACGTGGCCTCACATGGCCCAACAAGTCCAACATGGCCCAACACGGTCCAGCATGACCTAATACGGTCCAGCATGGCCCAGCATGGGCCGGTACAGCCCATCATGGCTCCATTGTGACCCTTCACGTCCCATCATGGCTTTGCAAGCCCAGTCACAGCCCACCACGGGCTCCCACGCCCTACCATGACCTCTCACAGCCTACCACGGCCTTGTGTGTCCCACCACGGCTCTGCGTGACCCATCACGGCCCCATCATGATCTTACATGTCCCACCACGGCTCTGCATGACCCATCACGGCACCATCATGACCTTGCATGTTCCATCACGGCTTTGTAAGCCCAGTCACAGCCCACCACGGGCTCCCACGTCCTACCACGACCTCTCACAGCCCACCATGGCCTCACACGTCCCACCTGGCTCTGCATCACCCATCATGTCCTCATCATGACCTTGCACGTCCCATCATAACTTTGTGTGACCCATCTCAGCTCCATCACGACCTTGCGCGTCCCACCATGGCCTTGCACGACCCATCATGGCCCCATCATGACCCATCACGGCCCCATCATGACCTTGTACGTCCCATCATGTCCCATCATGACCTTGCACGTCTCATCATGACCTTGCACGTCCCATCATG